AAGAAAATATGTATTTCTTGGATATGATATGTCAATCTAGAGTTCAGTTGTGCTCTTTGCGTTTCCTATTATACAGACTTTTTTTAATTAGAAAAGACTGGATTAAAATATCAGTTGAATAGCTTTGAGTTTTTAAAAATTATTCCACAGCATCAAATAAATGACCCAGGAAATGATTCTATGAGGATAGACACCTGCTTGTTTTCTCTTCATATATACAATATTGTGTGATCATCTGACCTTTTCATAAAAATATTATTGACTTGAAAATTGCAGGAGTTGAATCTTCCACTCCTGTGAATATATACTGTACATTTTAATGTCAAAGAGAAATATGTATCATTCGGTCACCTTGTGGCTTAGAAAGATCAGCATAGCTTTGCTTATCCCTGCACCATGAATTTTTAAAGAAATATATCCTGTATATAAAAACCGTGCCCATCTTCCCCTCCCCCAAAATACAAAAAATACAACTAATAGTAGGTGGTGAGGAAACAGACCTTGGATTAATGGTAAATAGTTCAATGAAGGTGTCAACACAGTGTAAAAAGGCCAATAGTACATTCAAGATAATAAGAAACAATACTGAAAATAGAGATGCTAATATCATAATGTCCTTACATAAATCAGTGGTGCAAACAGATCTGGAATATTTCCCACAGTTCTGATTGCCGTAACGTGATTGAAAAGGATATATAAAAAGTGCAGGAGAGGGCCACTAGGCTGATCAGGGGGCTACGGCAACTTCTCCATAGGAAAAGGTCATCACATTTGCTTTGTTTTTGTTTTTTTTTTTTACTTTACAAAGGCTACAAATGAGAGGGAACATGATTGAGAAGTTCAAAATTAAAGTGGACAAGGAGAAACTATTTTCCCCTCCCCATACATCAGGCATGTCAAACCCGCAACGTCACGTGATGTCGCGCGACGTATTGCAACTTTTCCCCCATTGCTGGCAATAGTGTGGGCGCGGTTTCGGTGTGATGCATCCGGCCCGTGGGCCAGCAGTTTGACATGCGTGCCATACATGAACAACCAGAGGTTACCCCATGAAATTGAATCCTGAAATAATCAAGGCAAACACAAGGAAATAATTTTACATAAAGTATAATCACAATTTGGAATTTGCTACCACAACATGTGGTGCTGTCTATCAGCTTGGCTGGCTTCAAAAAAGAGTTGGACAAATTTATGGAGGTCATGGGGGGGTTAGCAGCTATAGCTTTCAGGCCAGTGATTGCCACTGAGGCCATCTGCTAGGAGATTAGTAGCTTCCTTGTGAGAATAATCGGCTGGACTAGTTGAGCCAGTATGGCCGTGCTTATTTCTTTACATTCTTAAAGCAAAAATTCTTATTTTATTAGTTTATAATATAAAATGCAAAAATGCAAAAAAAATTAGTAGGAAAAATAGGGAGGGAGAAGGGGAGGAAAAAATGTAGAGAAAAGGGGAAAAAGAAAGAAAAGGCGTTGACTTCCAACTCCTTTTGATGCAGTAAAATAAGATAATAACATCAAACCTCAACTTTTTAGTTTTACCTAGTAGTATAAACTAACCATTTCTATAACAACAAGCCTATCTAATCGGTAAAATTGAAAATCAAAGTTTCATTGTTTTTCACCTCAAGCAAAAGTCCAGAAGTGGTTTCCAAGTAGAAAACAAAAATAACTGTGTTTTTTTCTTTTATCAAAACAGTCAATTTAGCCATCTCTGCTAACTCCATGAACTTTTGCAGCTATTCATCCATTGTGGGAATCAAAGTGTCCTTCCATTTTTGTGCATAAAGTAAACTTGCTGCTGTATAGAACATCAACATTCCATCCCCTTCCCCAAGTCTTTTTCCATTAAACCCAAAAGAAATGTTTCTGGCTTTATCTTTATATTCATTTTTCACACAGGCAGAACATAATAAAATCATATTTCCCAACAAACTGAAGCCAAGGCGTCTCCATACTTCTGCAATGTTCGTTAGCTTTTACATTTTATATAACTTCCACAACTATTATTAGTAATTAATTTGTAATCAGCAGCATTATTTCATTGAAATCAAAGGCTTTCTAGAAAATTTGAACATCTCTCAGGCGCCTTAGTTTTTTTTCTTAGGTAGCGACCACTACCACAACTCCTAAATCCACATAATTGTCAGTGAAGACTATCAGCTCCCAAGTTACATGGTCATCCATCTCAACAAGGTACTCTGGTGACTTCTATTACCATAGAAATCCAGGCCTTCCAGAAAACAATGCGGGAAAAGCAAAAAGAGAATAGTTTTACTTTTTTCCAGTGATGCTGCTGCTGATTCCTACCAGGCCATTCAAGTATAACTCAAAGTATCTTCCTTTTCTGAACATTTAATTGATGCTTCTAAGCCAGAGATGAAGAGAATTATTAAAGGAAATCAGTGGAGGAGAAGGATCAAGAACACTTCCTCCCTCTCTCCTTTCACCCCCACATGAGCTTCCTTAACCTTCACTGCAAATTGTCCAAGTCCTACAGCTTTTCTAAAGGACAGAAGAAAAGAACTTTATTGAATAAGTTATTTTTTCAATAATTAATGAAGAGATTTAATATAATGCCTCAGATTATTAAATTTTTTAAATTTATGCTTAAAAAACTTATCCGCTGCTAATTCTCAATAAAAATGGCCTTTATTTGCACATTCCAAAGTACCATGTGGAGTGGAAAATTATTAGCCTTAGGATATTACAGTTCCCTGGATGTCGCAGTTCTCAGCACTAATAATATTTTAAAATATATTTCAGAGTAAAAATGCTTTATGCTGCTGCCTCTCATATTCCACCTATTTATTCAACACAGTGTATATTTGCATTTTATTTCAAGATAAATTTATTTAGACTAACCTTGAAAATGTTAGCACTGCCACCCAATCTCGCATATCTTGCATCGTTATGAAATTCTAGGCTGAGTTCTGTGTAGCCTTAATACTAATTTAATATTCTGCCTAACAGTAAAGGTTAAAGATTTTACTCTGCTAGGAGTTTTACTTCACTAGTCGTAGCCAATGTGGGTGTAGTGTTCATCTCCGCTTCTTTAAGCCATTCAGCCAGCATTGTCTGAAGACATTTCTGTGGTCATGTGGCCACCATACAGCACAAAGCATATGGTGAAACATGGAACACTGTTACCTTCCCACTGAAATGGTATCTATTTATCTACTTGCATTTACATGCTTTCAAACTGCTGCGTTAGCAGGAGCTGAGAGCTGACCCAGTCATGCAGTAGTAGGTCTTGAACCACTGGAATACAGACCTTCTCAGTGGCATCTTTTAAGCCACTGAGCCCCGCACCTCTCTGCCTAACGGTAATGGAAATATATTTATGCCTGTAAGAAAGTTGCCTGAATATTATTGTAGGTACATCTGGTTGTAAAAGGATGCTTATCTAATTATAATACATGCCAAGTATAAGAATTGAGATATTCTAGATCACAATTATGTTCACAGTGGCTTTAAAAATGCAAGCTTTAAAATGCCAGAATTCTACAGCACTTACATGATCTTCCAGCTCCATGGAAATGCAACTGAATTGATTGATACTTGTAAAAGTGCTTTGTAAAGCACTTAAAAAAAAATCTATATGAAATCATGTCTGTGTTTTCTTCTAGGAAAGGCTATAAGAAGCACTTTTCTTCTTTGAACCAATAAAAGCAGAAATACCGAACACTTATCCATGCAGTAACATGGTATCTGTTGGCATTACGTAACAAAAAACAATTATTAAGCAACTTAAATCTTTGAACTGTACCAGAACATTTTAATGTTCATCTACTCTTTTGAAAGATAAAGGAATACCAACTGCTTCATATTTATTAAGAATAGGTTCATTTTCCTTGCTTGCTTTATCAAAGATGAATTTCTTTTACTCTGTTCTCTCTCTCTTATCATAAGACTGATACTTCTAGCGGGAGTAAGGCTGCAAACTTATATGTAGTTACTATAGAATGAACCGATAGCCCACTTTAGAAACTTCTTCCATTTAGGAAACATACTCACACAGTTAGCATATATTTAACAACTGTTATTTACTTAAAGATCCTAGAATGCACTTCTCAACGACCAAGAATTGTATTAAGATAAAGAGGAAGAGAAGCAAACCTTTTTTTAACGGTCAGACAGGTGAAGCAAGGTATAAGTTGCTTCAAACATAAGTTATGACCATATTTGAGCTTGCATTTTCTGTGACGGTCATAAATCAGATCATCATGTAACCGTGTCCATTGTCCAATTTTACAACCTTTTTTTGCAATGGTCATTATGTGAATGCAGTGTTCAGAAAATAAACACCATGGTTGTTAAGTGAATCCATTGCTCACTATCAGGTGTGCTTTTTGTGGAAACTGAAAGTAAACAGTAGTGTCTGAAAAAGAAGAAGCATAAATTGCGATCACTGCAAACAGCCATAAATGTGGGCCAATTGATAAGCACCCAGGATGCAGTTACATGATCGGAAAGGGGGGGGCAGACATTGGAGTTAGAATCCAGGTGGTAAGTCCCCCTTTTGGGGTCTAAGGACTATCTGCTATTTTCTTTGGCTTCATTCTTCATTGCTATTATTTAGAAACCTATTTTGGGGCTAGAATGAATACATAATTTACAAAGGTTATTTTTGTGTAAAGGGAAGAGAAAGAAAATAAATCCTGTATTTCTACCACCACTTTTAACATTGCAAGCATGATCCGTGATATTTTTCTCCCCAAATATCTGTGAAATACATACTGGCCATCAACTCAACCCTTTCAATCCCTACTTCAAATTGGAAAAGGGTCATGGTCTCAAAATACATTTAGTTTCCATTTGGAAGAGCAGCAGATTAAGGCCAACAGTTTTAAGATTATTTCATTTCATTGTACCAAGGGCAGCGGTTTAAAACCTCCTTGTTTCCAAGGTTTTCATTCCCATTAGAATTTTAAGGGTAGCTCATTTAGATGGTAAGTAAAAAAGTTAGCTTAATTGTTACTCCTCCTTCCTGTCTCTTTACAGCTCTTGTATGACAGTCCAAAAGCACGACAGGAAGTGGATCATCACTGGCGAGCTTCAGGCTGTCCCCACATTGTCCATATCTTGGAAGTTTATGAGAATATACACCATGGGAAGAGATGCCTTTTAATCATCATGGAGTGGTAAGCATCATCCTCCCTTGTTTTATATTTGGAATCTTGAAGACAATGATTAGATCGCAGTCATACAATCACTTTAGTATAGAAAACAGTGGTGAGTTGTCCATAATTCCCAAGAAAAAGTGTTCACAACCATCTTGCAATTTTTTGAAAAAATCTTAAGTTTCTTGAGAAAGGAGCTGGGTTTCTACTATACAGATAGTCTCGACATTTATTTATTTATTTATTTATGAGACTTATATACCGCTTTAAATGCAAGCACTCTCTAAGCGGTGTACACCAGTAAGCAATGTATACATATATTTACATTGCCCCCAACAATCTGGGTCCTCATTTTACCTACCCCGGAAGGATGGAAGGCTGAGTCAACCTTGAGCCGGTGAGATTTGAACCGCTGACCTGCTGAACACAGTCAGCTAAAGTGGCCTGCAGTACTGCACTCTAACTGCTGCGCCACCTCGGCTCATTAAACAGTTCATACAACAGTTCATCTAGTGACTGTTCAAAGTTACAACGGCACTGAAAAAAAGACTCATGGCCATTTTTCACACTTATGCGATTGCAGCACCCCCAAGGTCATGTGATTTACATTTGGATTTTTGACAACTGGTTCATTTTTATGACGGTCGAAAGTGTCCCGGAGTCATGTGTTCATCTTTTGCGAACCGACAAGCAAAATCAATGGAGAAGCCAGATTCGCTTAACAGCAGTATTATTAATTTAACTACAGTGAATCACTTAACAAATGTGGCAAGAAAAGTCATAAAGTGGGGCAAAAATCACTTAACACATTTCTGACTTAGCAACAGAAATTCTTGGCTCCGTTGTGGTCGTAGGTTGAGGACTAGCTGTATATGATTTTTTTTTCTTTGGCCATTGTCTCTGTGAATGGCTACTGAGCCATTGGAAAGTAATAATCTAAATCAGTCCAAACAAACCACTGCATTAAATTCCACTCCCCCCCCCCAGCCCTATGTGGTAATACTGTCATTAATCAAAGCTAGTCTGTAGTTGGAGTGGCAGTAAAAACCTCTATATGAAGAGTTCCCTGTTTATTTTTCCATAGTTCAGCCATGCTTACATAGTAAAAGATGGAAAGGCATCAGAATTGCTTTGAGGGTTTATCTAGTTCATTCATCAAAAGCAAGGTTCTACATTTAGGCAAGAAAAAACAAATGCACAGGTATAGTATAGGGGGTACCTTGCTCAATAGCAGTAACTGTGAGAGGCATCTCGGAGTCCTAGTGGACAATCACCTAAATATGAGCCAGCAGTGTGCTGCAGCTGCCAAAAAGGCCAACCCAGTGCTAGGCTGCATTAACACAGAGATAAAATCAAGATCATGTGAAGTGTTAATGCCACTTTACAATGCCTTGGTAAGGCCACACTTGGAATACTGCATCCAGTTTTGGTCACCGCGATGCAAAAAAGATGCTGAAACTCTAGAAAGAGTACAGAGAAGAGCAACAAAGATGATTAGGGGACTTGAGGCTAAAGCATATAAGGAATGGCTGCTGGAATTGGGTATGTCTAGTTTAATGAAGAGAAGGACGAGGGGGGACATGATAGCAGTGTTCCAATATCTCAGGGGTTGCCACAAAGAAGAGGGAGTCAAGCTATTTTCCAAGGCGTCTGAAGGCAGGACAAGAAGCAATGGGTGGAAACTAATCAAGGAGAGAAGCAACCTAAAACTAAGGAGAAACTTCCTGACAATTAGAACAATTAACCAGTGGAACAACCTGCCTCCAGAAGTGGTGAATGCTCCAACACTGAAAGTTTTTAAGAAGAGACTGGACAGCCATTTGTCCGAAATGGTATAGGGTTTCCTGCCTGAGCAGGGGGTTGCACTAGATGACCTCCAAGATCCATTCCAACTTTATTATTATTATTATCGATCATCGCACAGTCAGCCAGATGTTCAGACTGGATTTGGCATTTTGTCTACCTATCGAGTCCTTACCCAGGACCTGGGATAGGCAGATGTGGATGTTTGATGGTATTACAGATATCGTCGCAGGATGGAAGCAGTTCCTAGTAAGGCCGCCTTTTGCAATTGCCTAATAGCAAATTTGTCAATGCCAATGGTGTTCAAGTGGTGCTCCAGTTGTTTTGGGATTGCGCCCAAGGAGCCTAGGACTATTGGTACTACCCTTGCTTGCTTTTGCCACAGTCTTTCTATTTCTATTTGTAGGTCTTTGTATTTTGTTATCTTCTCCAGTTCTTTCTCGTCTATTCTGCTGTCTCCAGGCACTGCCACATCCACTATCCAGACTTTTTTTGTCTTTCTTATCGACAATTGTTAAGTCTGGGGTGTTATGTTGCAGGTGCTTGTCTGTTTATTATTATTATTATTATTATTATTATTATTATTATTATTATTATTATTATTATTATCCCATTTTCCTCAGTAGCCAGTTTTATGATTTGAGTAGCTCTCTACAGAAGATGAGGCATCTTCTGGGAAGCTTCTCTATAGATAGTGATGCCATCTGATCTATTTAAAGTATAATTAATGTATTTATTATCCTTAACTAATATGTTTCTAGTTAATTAGGGTTGCCTTCATGGCTAGAGAAAATGGGATTTATTGAAGCACCTAATACTATGTTGCTCAAAGGAATAATGCAGATTGCTGTATGGCCTTTTGAGAAAGGGGTTATTTTCCTTAGCTTGGGTGAAGACACAAGAAAAGGTGTTTGAAATTTCTGTCCAAAACTGTAAAAGCCACAAGCATTATACATTTTTTATTCACGATAATACTGTATACATTAGAACAGATGCTCTTAGGAACAGATTCTGTATTTTTATTCTTACATCATGAATATGAATATAGTACAGTGGTACTTCAGTACTCATCGTTAATTGGTTCTGGGAGACATGACAAGTTCTAAAAACAAGTACCAAACAAACCATGTGACTAATATGGGACCCTTTGTTTCATCTGGAAAGGGTAATGAGTCACAAGACAGCCCACACCAAGAAGTTTTAGCTTGCGTGTCAAGTACCAAACAGACAATGAGTACCGAAACAAGACCTTTTTTTGTCAAAATGGGTTGAGTAACAAATACTATGAGTTTCAAAGCAGACAAATATGGAGGTACCACTGTATGTTTCTGTTGGGATTTTCTCTTAAACTAACATTCATCTATTTGAACATATATGATGTTGACTTAAATGTAAAATATACTGCAGTTGATAATTCTTGCATGCTATAGAGCAGTGTTTCCCAAACTTGACAATTTTAAGGCATGTGGACTTCAACTTCCAGAATTCTGGGAGTTGAAGACCACATGCCTTAAAATTGTCAAGCTTGGGAAACACTGCTATAGAGCATGGGTGTCAAACTCGTCACGTCACATAACGCATCGTGACATATTGCAACTTTTTTTTTGCATTGCCGGAACTGGGGTGGCCGCGGCCTCCATACGATGCAACTGGCCCACAGGCCGGCAGTTTGACACCCTGCTATAGAGAGAAATCTATATATTTTCTGAAAAGTCTTGTACAGATACGATGAGAGATGGTGAACAAATTAATATAGTTGATACTATTGGCTGGCTGTCCTGGCAAACTGTCCAGAAGTTGGAAAAGTTGCAGAAGACTGGAGTATATTCAAAGGAATTTGTAGCTATTGTCATTCATCCTAACTATGAAAAGAACTAGAGAGAAAGATCAGGGTCAAGTCAGAATTAGTGAGAGACAGAGGCAAATCAAATTTCTTTCATCCCAGTTCTAAGACTTTTGTATCTTTTTCTGAACTTTCTATGCATCTACTCAGATTATGCTTTTCCTCCCTAAGAGTTTTCTTTGTAGAATCTATACTGGGCCAATTTTATATTTCTCTTCAAATACTCTCCAACCTCCCATTTGCTGTTGCTGTTTTATTTTTTCCAGAATTCTGATAGCATCAAAACTAGAGAAATTAATTTTAGCCATCCTGCAGTACTGTCTATTGTGCTCATTTCCAGTATGGTCAAGTAATAATGCTGGTGATTCAGCTTTCTCTGAAAAGCCCGCATGTATATTAAACATCAAGCTTTGAAACTCATTGTGTGAGCATTTGTTTTCTTTGTTATCAAATATATCAGGGAGGCACAGGGATGAGCAGCAATTTACAGTCATCCAGTCACAAGTAGGTAATTTATTGCAGCAATGGTCTTGCTGCTAAACATTTAAAATCCCATTAAAGACAGCAGGATTTAAGTAATCTGCATGCACCGACAAATAACATATTTAAAAATATTTATGAGATACAGGGCAGACAGCTGTGTGACTCCAGATACTGAACTTTATTTCCTAGAACTTCAGTGAATCATAGCCCATGAAGATACATTCTAGGAATTATGGTTAGCCATTACTGGAGAGCATAAGTTGTTACTTGTAGAATGTAACTAGTGGATAAATAAACATAGTATTACAGTAGTCCAAATTAAGATCTTCCAGCCATTTCTGAAAAGCCATGAAAACTATTTTTTTTCTGCCCACCTTCTTGGCCATACTCTTCCATCTCCTCCCACTGCAAAGAGACTTCCTTTGTGCATTGTTGTACATTGGATAGGAAATTATATATAAAGGACATGGCAGTAGGCCAGGGATTGGCAGTACCACCCTCTTCTGCAGTATTTTTCAAAGAATGGGCAGGTACAGACAAGGTGTAGTTTGGTGTACAGAGTTTGAAAAGATCACCTTTGTTTTATGCTTCAAGGGAAGAAAGTTGTAGAGCGGCCCCAACTGCTCTGCAACTTTCCCAATGCTTTGGCATCTAAACGTAGTTCCTGGATGATATCATGAGAATATTCTTAGTAATTTGACATGCCTGTAAAAGGCTAGAGTGGAAGGCATACTTTCCAGATAGCCAGGGACCTTCTTTGTAAGCAGGAAAACTGGATCAATCAGAAGCAGGTGATCCAGAGGCTGCAAAAGCACACAAGCACAGCAAGTCATTTAAGAAACATTTAAGCAATGTTTAAACAGGTCACAACATGATCGAGTTGATGAGTGCTATAAGGCTGGAGCAACAGCTTTGGGCTGATATGTCTGATTGGTTTGAGAAACGCATAGCAGATATGAAATGGAGAAATAGTATTACCCGTAAAAACTGAAATTAAGCGCCCTTCTGTGCTTGCATTTTGAATCATCTGTGTCTTGTTCACAGCATGGAGGGAGGGGAACTCTTCACTCGAATCCAGGAGCGTGGAGACCAAGCTTTCACAGAAAAAGGTAGAACATCAAGGAGCGTTTATGAACACATTTTTGGAAGTTAGAATTTAGATAAACTCTTCATTCTTACTATTTTAAAGAAATTCTAATCGAATTAAAATTGGTTAACTTTTTCAAAACTTCTGTGGAACTTCTGATTATTTTTATTTCTAAATGCCTGAAAACTCACAGAAATATAAATTTCATTGGGGACATGTGCATTGCTTTTAATGAAAAACCATCCAAATTTAAATAATGAGGCTTTCACATTATAGATTGAAGCTTCGCCAAATACTGCTGTTTATTTCAAAATAAACATACACAAAAGGTGTTTGTTTAGTCATTTAAAAAATTGTTCAGTGTATTGCAGGTATGTAATGTACAAAATTTCATGTCAATGGTATTGTTGCCTTTTAACCAAAGGACTGAGAAACAGAAATAAATTAATTAATGATAGTCATTCTCAAAGTAAAACACAAGTCTTGGGGCTAATTTTATTATTTTTCCCTGACATAAGCAAGCTGGTTGCTGTTGTAGTTAGAAACACTGTATAGCTCTAAGATACTACAAGAATGCTAATGTGACCTTTCTATAAAATAACATTTCTAGAAGCCTCTGAAATAATGAGAGACATTGGAACAGCTATCCAACATCTTCATGGAATGAACATAGCTCATAGAGATGTCAAGGTGAGAACTGAACGTGTTTACACATGTAGTTACACATGTAAACAGTTGATTGCATAGGCCTGTTTTGACACTGAGAGGAGCAGTTTAAATCAAATATTTAAGTCACACTCTGGTGCAGGAATCCAAGTATCTTTTAAAAGTTAGTCCATTTAAATGAGGGGTAAAAAAGGTCTAATCAGTTTAAAACTGGCTGCAATATTAAAATGTACTGATATTTAAAAGTAAACTTGGTTCTAGCTACAAACCAAACAGAATTAAAAATTCAGAAGAGATTAGTACCAACAAAATATCCTGTTAATCTTTATTTGTATTCCTTTTTATATATACAATTCCAGCCAGAAAACCTTCTTTATACATCCAAAGAGAAAGAATCAGTGCTTAAGCTCACAGATTTTGGGTTTGCTAAAGAGACAACCATACAGAACGCACTGCAGACTCCTTGTTACACTCCTTACTATGTAGGTAAGTTTGGCTTTTTTCCTATCTTCTGATTTATTCCTTCTGGAAATCAAGAAATTATTACACATTTATTTCATAAATGCACTCAACTCTTGCTGTTAGAAGTAAAAGGTCAATTACTAGACAGTTGAGTTCTAACCTATGGACACATGCAATCAGGGGTTTTTTTGGTCATAGAACGCCCAGAACGGAGTTCCGGCACCTTTTTTGGATGGAACCTTGTAGGGTAGGCAAGGCGGGTTTTATGACGTGTGTGAGTTCTGGCACCTTTTTTTTTTTTTTTTTACAAAAAAAAGCACTGCGTGCAATTATATTAGAGTATACTATAGCAGAGGTCCCAACCTTTTGGGCAGCAGGTTCCATGAAAAGATTTTTCCATGGACCAGAGGGGTCGTGGTTTTGTGTGCTGCCTGCATCCAGCAAATGGAGTTTTGCTTGTTTGCACGGAGCAGTTTCTGGCATGCTGCTGACCGGTGCCAGAGATCCCTGTACTATAGTATATATAGTATACCAAAACAGTCAAAGATCAAATCCAAAGACACCAATCCAGGATTAGAGGAAAAAGGCCCCTGTGCATAGTCACAACAGGCTTAGTTAATTTCCATTGTCAGTATTGGACCTCAGCAAGCAATGTAGTGTGCAAATTGGTGTTTTGTGGGATTTGTACGCAAAAAAAAGGTCCCTGTAACAACTGACAAATTATACTGATTTAGATAACCTTTATTGTCGTTTTTTCCTGTGGGCACAACGGCACACATTAAAAATGAAATTTAGTTGCTTGCTCTCAAGTATACACATACATAACACATGTTTAAAACATACTATATACAACATGTATAGACCTACACCCTTACATATGAGTAACATATATATGTTAATCACTGTCCATCTTGAGTACATAACGTGAGGAGGAAGTTTTAGAGTTCACAAGGTTAATACTGTATGGAACAAAACTGTGACTGAATATGGATGTTCTGCTTCCGATATCACGAAACCTCCTCCCAGAAGGTAACAAGGGAGGAGACTCTGTGGTATCTGAAGCAGAACATCCAGGTTCCATCACAGCTTTGTTCCATACAGTATTAACCTTGTGAACTCTAAAGTTTCCTCCTTTCGTTATGTATGTTATGAACTGGAAGGATGGTACAAGCTGAGATCATGCAAGCAAAACAAAACAGCTCACTGTTCTAGATTTACTATGGATAATTGGTTTCACATTGCTGTTGGCACTCAAAATAAAATTTGGGATGTCTGTTTCTGACACTCCCCATATATGCTCATGTACACTAGTTTATATAAGTAAATTATATAAAGTATTTGTTACTGCTGATTAGATTAAAGTACCTACATTCAATTATATACCAACTGCTTATTTAATAATAAAGGAAAGAATAAATATAAGTTAGTGCATAACCAACATCTGAAAAACTAACATTCACAATTCTTTTGTTCTCTTCTTCAGCCCCAGAAGTACTTGGTCCAGAGAAATATGACAAATCCTGTGATATGTGGTCTCTTGGTGTCATCATGTATATTCTGTAAGTGTAAAATTAAGATAACAAGTCAGAATTCTGGTATGTCACACACTAGCTCCTCGATATCCTAATGCCACTAGTAAATCAGAAAAATTAGTCACTGGATCATTACTCATTCTGTCAGAAGACTCAGCAGCCCATCTGTGACTCTACATGGGACCAGGGAGGGAATATATAGTAATTTTCTAGTTACCAGAAGCTCATCTGTATTTGTCCTTCTTTTGCAGTTTGTGTGGGTTCCCTCCATTCTATTCCAATACTGGCCAAGCCATTTCCCCAGGAATGAAAAGAAGAATTCGGATGGGGCAGTATGGATTTCCAAATCCTGAATGGGCAGAGGTATCTGATGAAGGTAAATGAGTGTTGTGTATGTCTCCAATTAAAACTGCATCACTGATTTTTAAAAAATTCCAACTTTTAGTTGGGTAACATATGTGCTCACAGAGATACAAGACTGTCTGGTGGTTAAAGCATCAGACTTAGAAAGCCGGAGAATGTGAGTTCCAATCCTGCCTTAGCCATGAAATCCAGCTGTGTGACCGTGGGCCAGTCACTCTCTCTCAGCCCAACTCTCTCTCAGCCCAACTCACCTCTCAGGGTTGTTATTGTGGACAAAATAGGAAACAAATGTGGGTTGAATATGTTTTCCCCTTAGAGTTATTTGTACAAATAATAAAGGAGAGATGCAAACAAACAAATAAAATTTGGCAAATTTCATGAATGCACATACCTAACTCATAAATGTTGTAAAAATAATGGTCTGAAACAAAAAAAAAATAGACAAATTGAATTAAATGCCATTTCTTCCAATCTTATTTTAATATTAGAGAGAAATATAGATGTACTGGGCCAGTAGAATATAAGCAAAAATGTATTCCGGGTAACAAATATTCTATTGCTCCACCAGTATGCCTCTTAATGTCTGATTTTCTTTGTAATTAGTATGTTTGTCTAGAGCAGGAATGGGCAATATATGACATTTCAGAAATTGCTGTCTGACCACTATCAGCTACCAGCAACCATCACTATTTCCCAAGCTTTTTAGGATGCTAAGAATTAAGAGCTCAGTAATATCTGGGATACCACAGCCTGCTTACCTCTAGCTTAATACTAGACTATTGACTAAAGTTGCTGCTTCCAGATGTGAGATTCCATATAACAAATAATATTATACAGACATGTTCAAAATTTGTAAATTGCTCAAAAATGCATCATCCTGAAATGATTTTTCCTGCTTGGAGCCAAGTTTGACTCATCTGGGCTAGCAAATCTAGTCATCTTTTGAGTGCCAAATTTCTGAACTGTTCCAGGCTTGGCAGCAGTGGATGACATGTCTCCTCAACCAATGGAAAATGGTTCATTCAGGAGCAAGGAATCTTTGGCCTTTCGGATATTGGTTATGCTGTCTAAAACTGAAGTCCCACAACACTTGGAGAGTCATAGATATCCTATCACAGCTTAAAGAAATCAGAGAAGTGATTTAGAGTACCAGATTGGAGGAGGGTGATCCGATGATTTCAGTTTATAGAGCTCTCTAATTCCACATCATGTTCCCCCCCCCTTTCACATTTCTCTCCTCCCTGAAGAATTAAAATATTGCAGCAGTTAGGATATTGATCTAAAACTGAGAACTGGATTTATTTGTCAAATGTATATGGCCTTCTCACAAACAAATAGCTCAAGGAGATGTATCACAAGGCTAAAAACAGTTAAATTAATAATTAATAAAACAATATCATTATTAAAAACATTTAGAAACTATAATAAGCTATAAAGATTCATTTGGTACCAGTAATATATCTTATCGTGGCTGCTAACTTTAGAGAGGAAATTGCTATGCATGGTCTTGCGCTTCTGGGTGAAAGGCAGGATATAAATGGGAAAGGATAAGCAGTTCTTAAATATAAGAATATGAATATGACATATTCATTCTACAGATAGTTATAGGTGCCATTTTTTTCTAATTTGACAGAAGAGGAAAAGTGACTAGAGTGCATGAATATTCTACAATCTTTTTCTTGTATAATTCTTATTGCCTAAGTTATGTTTCCGTTTGTATTTTTTTTTTCTAGCCAAGCAGCTCATTCGTTTATTGCTGAAAACTGACCCAACAGAGAGAATGACCATTTCTCAATTTATGAATCATCCCTGGATTAATGTGAGTCCTGCACTATGGTCTGCCTGTGTCTTGATGTGGGTTCTAGGCAGCCTGCTGAGAAGATTTAGCATATTACTAATTGAACTAAGGCTCTACCTGTAAAAAAGAATATAATTTCTCCATCACTATGAGGGAACTCTTGGAGGATAGAGGGAAAAAACCTCTCTGTGAGTGGCAATCAAGGACATTACACCCCCAATCCAACTGTTCTCAGCTAGATTTAGCTTTCATTGCAGTGCACACATTCTCTTTCTCTCATTTATAAAAAGTTACATTACCTCATCAACGTAGGACTTATTATTAGACCTCCAAGGCACCATCGTGCTATACAGTGTTGATATGAATAGAGACCTCCTGCGTCGAGGGCGTTCTCAGTTTTTGGCAGAGGACTGGGAAAACTCAAGATAGGGAAGGGGGAGGCTTGAGCACAGCTCTCTTAGAAAATCACACCAGACTTGTTTCTGATGGAGATGCCAGCTAACTAAAAGGCTCTGGGAGTGGAAGAGAGCAAGCTGCTGGTGAAGCTGTGAGTTTTCCATCTGCATTCTGCCAGGCAAAAGACACCAATATTTTCTGTATTGGATTCTCATATCTATCAATGAACTTCAGATAGCTGCTATAAAAATGTATCTACATATATCCTTGCTAAGGAAAATCAGTCTAAAGAGATTAAATGCCTTATGTACTCTTTCTCTTAAAAGAGACAAAGTCCAGGGGAGCAATCTGAGTGCTACTTAGAGCAAATGGTTAAGTAGAGAGCTGTCATTTCTCTCAGCCCAAAGGGAATGTAGGCTGAAAAGGAATCTCTGTCTCAACAAGGCCTCAAAGTTAAGCAAAGGAGTTGAGCCTGTCTAAGAGGAGAAAGTCCTGCTTTCCTTCCAGTCACCAAAGTTGAAAGTGAAATATCAAGTTTTAAATTTTAAATTTCTAATATAAACAGTTCTGGAGAGTCTTAGAATTTTTATGTCTATGTTTCTATGTCAAGAAACTGTTCTAGCATCTACCATTCCTCTGAGCCAGAAACCTAGATTGAACCACATGTGGAAACACTGACATAGGTCATACTGCAGAACTGGTTAATTTGGACATAGAGATGTCAGTTGATCAAGAAAAAGTGTAGGCTTAGCCTTTGATTCAAGTGTTGGGTCAACCTCATTGTAAGCAGAATTTACAAACTAAAATGTAAGTGTAGCTATGATAAGAGCTTTGTTTTTAAAACTTATCTTCCTGACAGTTCCAGTTCTCATTCAGTTATGTGGCCTATAAATAAAAAACATTTAAAAAAGGAGAATGGGACCTTGATGTTAAGAGCTGCAGAATTTCATACCGAGATAGGAGGCAAAACTAAATTATATTATGAACAATATAGTTTTGAGCCTTATTATGAGATGTGAGATTTACTTTGGGGAAAAGGTCTATCTGGAAGCTGAGAAGCAGAAGGGGATACTTGTACTTTTCCCTGCTGCTGCAAGCCTATCCTCCTGTTTGCTGGGGGAAGCAGGAGGAGCTCAAATGTGATTTTCTCCTCCAGTTTTTAGGAAGTTAATTGCCATATTCTTTTGGAAGTTATGCAATTTTGCGATTATGAAAAATACGACTGTCTCCCAAAATGCAGCCGCCTACACTCTTTCTCACTTAGCTTAGGAGACAAGTTTCTACATTTTAAACACGACTTCTTTTTTTAAGAACAGTTAATGGTTAGTGTGTCAACAGTCTGTCACAAGAAATCATCTCTGTTGATTGCTTCTCTTAGCAATCCATGGTGGTGCCACCAACCCCTCTTCACACTACCCGAGTCCTGCAAGAAGACAAAGACCACTGGGATGAAGTGAAGGTAACGTTTGTGTATGTGTAGAGTTGGGTGGAGATGCTCCTTTTTATGGATAGTTGAAAAAATGATGTTCTCTCCAATTGTTTATAACCCCAAGTAGCGTGAACCTACCTTCAGTTCATTATTTTTTGCACAATGGTTGCTAAAACATATGCAGATAATTGATTGAGAGAATTACTAGTTAGGCACAGAAGGACATGCGGGGTTTAGTGGCAGGGTGGGTGTTTATTTTTCATATAAACTTTAGCAAAAAAAAAAAAAAAAAAAGGCCCGCAATGGCTAAAAGCCAGGATTTTTACTTTAATTTTTCTTTAGTATGCTTTTTCAAGTAGGAAGTTTGGAGGGTTTTTTTAAAAAAATAAATGTGCTAGTTCTGTCCAAATACTTATACTCTTTAAAAAAAATCTTCTGTTCTTTGGAAAATAATGGGAAAATTGTACCATTGATGTTTGTCCAAAAGTTCTGGGGGGCTACAACAAAAGCATGTACATCACGTGTGAGGTATCCACCGTAATTCACTCAGATCCAACAAGAATAGGCAGCTTGGTCTTTCAGATGTTTTGGACTTTCAATACCCACTTCACTCTGTCTAGAAGTTTTCCAATGCCAGGTTGCCTTTGACATAGGAAAACATTAAATTCTAGATACACATGGACAGCATTAAAAATATATTACTTCGTTGAATATTCCTTATAGGATTAATTTGGTTCTTGGGTTTTTGGTCACTAATATGTGATATTTAATCCTACGTATAAATTTTTTATTCATTACAATTTACTACATTTGGTATATCGCTCTTGTGGGGGAACTCTACAATTGTTACCCTTGGCTGAGATCCTTCCTTCTGTAGATACAACAGAAGATGGACTTTTTTTCCTTTAAATTTCACTATTACTTCTTGTGTATTTTAGGAGGAAATGACTAGCGCTTTGGCAACCATGAGAGTAGACTATGATCAGATAAAAATTAAAGATTTGAAAATATCCAACAATCGACTCCTCAACAAACGGCGTAAGAAACAAAAACAAGGAGGCACCTCAACTGCATCAGCTGGTTGCAACAACCAATAAAGATGAGAGAAATAAAATGAAATTCTGAATTGAACTGAAATAATCTCACACATAACCGAAACACAAAAGTGTGTGATAAGAACTTTTTATTTCAACGCACTGGGGTTTTTTTTCTACGAATTTTTTTTAATCATTCTATTACATTTTAGTATACTTTACCTAAGGAGCTGCAACAAACCTTCTATCAGTGAAGTTTGGATAAATAAATATTTCTTGTGGTAATGCGGGTTTAGTGCTTACAAAAGCACAAGTCACAACAAGAAATTCTAAATCCCTTTTTTCATATAAAGCAATTAGAGCATCCATCTGCTTAACTCTCAGATGAATTCATAAGGACATAAACGTGCTTAATTTAGACTGGATTATGCTGAATCCATTGAAGAAGTAGATTAAACCATGCATAAAGCAAAGAAGTAAAAAGATCAGGTTATTACAAGAAGCAATCAGAAAGTTATGAAAAAGTAAGTTTTTCATATATTTGTTTGATTTTTCATTGTTCATTTCAATTGTATTTAATGTTCTTATCGAGTTAATGCTCTTATTTTATACACTGTCCATCCGTATAAGGAAGCATTGCTTTTTAGTCTTTGGGAAATATTTACAATGTCAGGCTTAAGGGATTATTACAAGCTTGTTTCCATGCACACATTTCTTACATTCAGATCAATGTAGGTAAGAACAGTGTAAATTAGTCATACAGGGTGTGGGCACACATTTTTTTTTTAAATGCAGGAAACTTTTACTGGCTGCCTTGTAGGATCCTTGTAGCAAAACAGACAAGAATGCAGTTGCTACATTTTACGATTTAGATGTTCCATTTTCTTGTTTATATATAGGCCATAATTTATTATCACAGATTTTTTTCAACTGTTTACGTTTTAAATTAAGTATCAAAGATTAATAAACCAAAATATCATTATGTCAGCATCCACAACTTTGCACAAAGATTTTAGTTGAGATTTCAGAAGGAAATGATTTCCAAGTGCATTATGATTTTTTTACTAAAAGAACCATGATAGGCAGGCAGAACAGGTAAAGGGCACCCTTTTTACATTCTTTTCCAGTGGTAGAAAGCTTCAAGTGGTCTGGGGTTGACATGGTGGCATCTTCAGAGAGGACAGAGGCAGAATTATTGCCCTCCCTCCCCTTCTTGTGATGTTGTTTTTAAAGGCATATTAAACCAATTAGGCCTACTTCACCTATTTGATTTATATTCCTTTTATTTAGCTATTGATGAATTTCCATGAGAAATCTTAGGAAACTACCAGAAAATAAATGGTTACAACTGCAGCTTCCTTGAGATAGGGTATTAGTTTGCCTATTCTGCGAACTGGGTGATATAGCATTTTTCATGTACTGTCCACATGTGAAAAGTTTAAAACATAGGCACATGCCCCGAGCGCTTCTAAATTCAAAGAGAAAATTTGCAAACTCGACACGTATGAATATGTATGTTACCACAGTTGTTTTTACATATCATGTATATTATTTCTTAATACCCTGTAGATTAGGGTAGATGGGATAACAAAAAATGAAGTCACTCAAACAATTTTTCTGGGTATTTTTTTTTTTTTTTGAGAGTTTAGATATTTCAGTACGGCGATATATGCACCAAGAAGAGAAGGTCTCAAACGGGTGGATTGTCACATAATATCTCATAATAACCTTGTCCTGTGAAACCTGCCTTACATACCAATTATCTTTATTCAAATCATTTCATTGTCCAAACATTTTCTTTGAAAAGGGATACTCCTGACAATTTTCCACACATGCAAATGTCCCTGGCCCTCTAGGAAGGAGGTGAGAACAGAGCCACCCCTCTCTTTGAGCTTTCATTTGTGCGACTGTTTTTAAGATGCTAACAAACGGCAGGCGCTTGTTTCTGTTACTTCTCATTTCTAACACTCACTGCAGCAAAGAGAAGTCCTTTGATGGCCTCCATGTTTGTCAGAGGGCACAAGGGGGAGATGAAGTCTTCTCCTAATTGTACTTGTAAGATGATAAATAATTGCAGATGAATTGTTTTGTTCCTTACATTCTCCAAACTAAGTCTACTGCACAAGCCAGGAAACCAGAGATGGAAGAAGAAAATCTGTGGCTGTTAAACCAAAAAACATGGGTGACTTTGTGTTATATCCTTATTCTAGAATTATAAGGATTAATCTGCAATGAAGTAAATTTCTATTAATTACATAGGTACCTCTCTTTGATTTGCAAGCATATTAAATTGATGTTGAAAGCACTTCAGACTGTTTGTGAAATGCTAACATTTTGCAGATATTAATAAAATGGTGCTTTACCCATTTTTTTTCTTAAATGGACCTCGCTCTTTTAATAAATCTTCCTTTGTGATATTTTACTTTCAGTTCTAGGATGACAGATTTCTTCTCTTTTTTCTCCTTCAAAGAATGTGAAGCAAACTTAATCTGAAGGCATCATTTTTGTCCATGTGTTACTTGTTTTAATATTCAATTTAACTAAATTTAGAGCAACTATAAGTTAGCAGTAGTCACTAGGTGGCAGCACTTAGCCCAACCTTGGCTGCTCTTAAAAAATAAACATGGTTGGATCTGGTTAGTACTTGAATCACCAGGGCTAGAGGGTAGGTTTGAAAATTGAAAAAAAAAAGCCTATCAGAAGAAAGCAGTGACAAACATTTTGGAAATGATGGCAAAAAACATCATGGACGTCTCTCTGTAGCCACCAGAAGTCAAGCATGACTTGAAAATACTTTACTTGAGAATAACTTTAAAAAAGCAAAAGGCTTTTTTAAAAAAAGCAGAAACAAAAAATCCTTACCTACTCTTAAGGTTATTCAGACTCCACAATTACCCAATATTTACGAAAGTGCCACGATTGATTGTCAGATGACATGTTTCACATTTCCTGTATTACTAAGATGACTAGTGCCAGATAACTTTGAGAACAGCTGTTACTCTTTCATCACTGCTGAACTAGATAGGCATAAGATCTGATTTCTGTGCAGTGCTTTGGATTCAATCTCCAAAAAAGTATGGAGCATGCAGACTGCGCTGTGCACAGCACCTTAAAACAGCAACGGCTTTTCTTGAAATTGGAGGGCAGATGCAGGAGCCTAGGAAAATATTCAGTTTTAAGAAATTGCAAACAGGCAACTTAGTTATATTAGATGGCTTTGCAAAGCTGTTGCCCATAGATTTATTTGCTGAATCAGTCTTGCTTCCAAATGGAATTATTGATCCTTTTTGGATTTCTGGCTAACCTTAGTGCTGGTTTTGGCCAATTAAAGATGATTATATAATTTTAGACAATCCCCCCTTTTTCTTTGATTTGAGTTAGATTGAACCTTGATGTGCATCAATTACATTTCATGTTATAATCTGACATTTTGAATAACAGGAGCACGAGGAATTGATGAAGAGGAAGGTTTTATAAATCTCACAATCACACAATTATAAACCATACCACTGCAAGACCTCAAGGAAGAGGCTTTCTCCAATTCCTTATGGCAGTGGTGGCGAACCTATGGCACACGTGCCAGAGGCGGCACTCAGAGCCCTCTCTGTGGGCACGCGCCGTTGCCCCAGCCCCTCCTCCACTGCGGCCCCCTCATTACCAGCAGCCCCCCTGTAGAGTCGCCCCTGAGCGGCGCAGCTAAGAACGCAGCCAGGCAGCAGGGATAAGACTCTGCCTTCGTGCCCCAATGTGCACAGACGATGCTACTGGGTATGGGTGGAGGGCGTGGCTGCCATGGCGCTGCAGGGCTGCCATGGCGATCTGCAGCTGGCCATGGAGGCGGTGGGTGGCAAGTGGGCAGGGTGGAGCAGGGGCAGGTGGAGCAGGCGGGTGGGCTAGGGGGTGCGCTGGTTTTTGGGCACTCAGTCTCTAAAAGGTTCGCCATCACTGCCTTATGGGGTATAATGTATGATACAAAAAATGATGCTATGGCCCTAGAAAGAATGCAGAGAAGAACAACAAAGATGATTAGAGCTCTGGAACTAAACCATACGATGAATGGTTAAAGGAACTATGTATGTCTACCTTACAAATTGGGGGCGACATGATAGTTGTCTTCCAATACCTGACGGCCAGTCACAGAGATGAGGAGGTTGACATATTCTCCAAAGCATCTAAAGGACATGGAAGCTCAAAAAAGAAAGATCCAGCATGGAACTAAGGAAGCATTTCCACACAGAACAATTAACTCATAGAACAGCTTGTCTTCCAGGAGTGGTGGGTGCCCATTACAGGTTTTCAAGAAAAGATAGGGCAACCATTTATCTGGGATGGAGTAAAGACTCCTGTCTTGGCCAGAGATTGGACTAAAACGGATAGGCAACCCAAAACACTCAAAGAGCCACTTGGACACGTTTCCCATCGAAAACAAAATACTGGGAGCCGCAAAACCCTTTTGATATCTAAAATGAAGATAACACTGCATATATCCTTTTTTACCTTTAATATGTATGTATATATGCATGTATGTATGTATATGTGTTTGTGTATATATAAAATAAAGGTAAAAAAGGATATATGCAGTGTTATCTTCATTTTAGATGTCAAAAGGGTCTCTCTTTCCTCTCTCTCTTTCTTCTTTCTCTCTTAACTCTTTCTTTCTCTTTCCTCTAACTTTCTCTTTCCTCTGTCTCTATCTCTTCTTTCCTCTCCTGTTTGTCTCTTTCCTCTAACTTTCTCTTTCCTCTTTCTTTCCTCTTTCTCTTATCTCTTTCTCTTCCCTTTCTTTCTCTTCTCTTTCCTCTAACTTTCTCTTTCCTCCAACTTTCTGTTTCTTTCTCTTTCCTCTTTCTCTCTTTCCTCTCTTTCTCCTTTCTTTCTCTTTCCTCTTTTTCTCTTTTCTTTTTCTTTCCTCTCTTTCCTTTCTCTTCTCTTTCCTCTTTCTCTCTTTCCTCTCTCTTTCTCTCTTTTCCTCTCTCTCTCCAGGTGAGGAGAGAGAGAGAAAGAACGAAAGGCAGATGGTGCCGAACGGGTGGGGAGGGGGAGCAGGACAGGAGACAGCAGCTCCGGTGGTGGCGGCCACTGCAGAATCGTTAGAGGTCCCCGCTGCCCCTGGCCCGGCCCCGCATCCTCAGCCAAATGGGCAGGGAGGGGAAGGACAGGAGGCAGTGGCTCCGGAGGCAGTGACAGCATCATCGGGGGTCCCCACCGTCCCCGGCGCAGCTGTTGCATCCTCAGCCAAACAGGCGGGGAGGGGGAGCAGGATGGGAGGCAGCGGCTGAACAGGTAGGAAGGGGGAGCAGGATGGGAGGCAGTGGCTCCGGCGGCAGCGACTGCAGCATCGTCAGGGTTCCCTGCTGCCCCGGCCCTGTTCTATCCCAACCTATGGCCATCCTTGTTAAAGGCACAAGGACAAAACCCCTGTTGAGAAAATAGGCTAGAGACTCAAAAGAAAACAAACCCCTTTTAATATGGGTAACAAACCTGCCAAATAGTCCAGAAACAAAAGCAGCAAAACACAATCCAAATGGAGGAAATTGTCCATACGAAACACAATGCAAAACAGAAAAGTAGTCACCGGCAATACTAACAGAACATGATCCCATGAAGTACTTTGCAATGGTTGCCTTCAGCAATCAGCACCGCCCATACCTTACCTTTTATAAAGCAGTCCCAGTGCCTTCTCCTCCTCCCCTGGAGCTGTTGTATTGACTGCTGCTGATCTGCTCTCACTAATTGCCTGCATCTACTCTACGAGCATCAATAATGTCGATCAGGTGTGAATCCTCCAAGTCTGACTCATTCTTCCCACACAGCTGAGCTTCATCCGTAACATGACTGAAGGGGCCAGGCTCTTCATCAGACCGTGAGTTTTGTAATTCATCAGAGCCTCCCTCTGACCCTGATGGCCCTCCAAATGTCTCCTCCACCTCCTCCTCAGATTCCCCGGACTCAGCTGTTGGGAACACAGGCTGGCACAGAATCACGACAGGCCCGGCCGCTGCGTTCTCAGCCGAATGGGCGGGGAGGGGGAGCAGGACAGGAGGCAGTGGCTCTGGCAGCGGCGACTGCAGCATTTTCAGGGGTCCCTGCTGGCCGGGCTGCCTCCCCTGGCCCGGCTGCTGCATCCTCAGCCAAACAGGTGGGGAGGGGGAGCAGGACAGGAAGCAGTGGCTCCGTCGGCAGCCACTACAGCATCGTCTGGGTCCCCGCCACCGCCCTGGCCGCTGCCCTGCTGCATCCTCAGCCACTTCGCCGTCGCAAGAGAGCACCAAGGCCGGGTGCACCATGGGCGGCTGTGCCGGCAACAAGGAGTGCCACTGCAGGGACGAGGGGGGGTCCCGACTGCCGCCGGCCCTGCCGCCCTTGCAGCCCAAGGCCGCCTCCTGCAGTACCAAGGGCCGGCTCGGCTTTCTGGGAAGTGATGCCCCCACCGCCCCCCACTCCCGCCGGGACTGCCACCCAGCCCGACCTGGGGAGACATGTGGCCAACTTGGCTTCCCAGGGAGCGATGTCCCCGCCAGCCACCGCTCCAGCCATGACTGCCACCCGGCCAGGGGATATGTGGCTGGCTCGGCTGCCTAGGGAGCAGCCCGAGGATGGCCCAGGAAGCGATGCCCCAGCCGAGACTGCCCCCTGGAACAAGTAAGCTGGGGGGCGTGCCACCTGCCCTGCAGCCACTTTGCGGCAGTGCTCCATGGACTCAGAGCCCCCTCCCTCCCCTGCTACTGACCCTCTGCCTCCGGCTCTGCTGCTGCTTGGCCAATGATCGCGCCAGCTAGGCATTGGAGGGGCTGCTCTCCCTTGGGGCCCTGGTTTGCGGGAGGGCTGGCCCGCTCAGTGGAGGCTCGGGCGGGCCGGTCCCAGCGGGGATCTTGGGGCTTCCCCGCACGGCTTCTCAGCCACATGGGCCTCAGATGGTGCCAGCCTGGGAAAGGGACTTCCTGGCTGCCCTTCTCCCAGGGGGTGTGGCACCTGGGCGCAGGGCCAATCAGGAGCCCTGCGAGGGGACAAGTCCACATGAGAGGGGGGGGAGGGAGGGAGGAAGTGCAAGTGCCTCTCTTTGTAAATGGCGGAGGAGGCTCCGGAGCCACAGGGGATGGCTCAAAGAGCCACATGCGGCTCTGGAGTAGCAGGTTGCCAACCCATGGACTAAAAGATTTCCAAAATCCCTTCCGGTCCTAGGATTGTATGATTCTGTGAATATGGGGGAAATTGCCTGTGAACACAATAAATATTATAAGTATAGGAAAACCAGGTGTTACTGCTCTTCAATTCTAAATCTTACAACTATCAGTAAATATTGCATTGGTCAAGAATGGCAAAAAATGTGGTAACCTAATAGGTATTCCCACTACCAAGTGGTGAAGGCACAAAACAGAATTATCTGTAAAATTGAAAGATTTCTTAGAAATATACAAGCAA